ATAGGAGGCTGGACTGCCACCACCCAGTACTTCCTGTTAACTTATAGAATCTTCTAACAGAGAAAAAGATTGTGCACTTTCACTTTGTTTGCTGCATTGTGGCAACCAAATTACTCTGACCTGGGACATTTTGAGACAACTCAAAAGAATGACTAGCCTTAACACCTTCAACAAAGTTTTATGCCACAGCTGTGCATAAACATTGTGTGTTTTTAGAAAGCTCTACATAAGTCAAAATTTTGACCGTGCACTATTTAAATATACTTAGAGAAATCTGCCACAGGCAGCCTTTCATAGAGTTGAAGAAGCCTTTGGTAAGAAAACACTGGTGCATTAAGGGCAGAGAGAAAAAGATCAAAAGGTCAAGAGCCAGATTTTTAAAAAGCAGTCACTCAAAACAGTCTAAATGGTTAGCTGGTCCCCCCGGGCTTGAAGTGTAACTATGAAAATAGTAATTCCATACACTTAATTAGGTTATTTTATGTCCCTCACTCTTCCCATGCCTGTAGTAATGGGGAATGGATGAGATGAAGGTAAGAACACCACACTCGAATCCAAGCCACACACCACCTCGAGCTGCAGCACAGGGAAGCTCACCTCCCCTGGCTTGGGAAAGTTTTGGCTGGCAGAGCCCAAGCTGCAGGGATGACCACCAGAAAGGTGCGTGAAGAGGTGCCCAAGCTCTGTCATGTCAGCATCTTCAGTGTTGGGGACATGCCAGCTTCTCTGTTCTTGATGAAATCCCAGCGTCTCACTGAATTAAAGAACCTCACGGTGCCTTCGGAACTGAGCTGTTGCGAGGTTTCTCAGGCTCTGCTAGCTGCCCATCAGGGTCAGCATGGTGATAAAGGCATTTGCTTCCAAATGGGTAGGTCCTTTCCTTGCTCAAAATATTTACAAGGTTTTTTTTCCCATTCCTTGTTTGAAGCTTCAATCAATTCGTTCCACCCAATATTACACTTGGAATCATAAACTCTGATATCACATGGCCTTCCGGATGAGACTCAATGATCATGTTTTCAAACTTCTTGGCATAGCACCACTACTGGATGCAGGACAAGCAGCACATGTGATTGAAGCTGGAGAGGATCCCAAACCTCCTCTCGGAGGCAGAGGCCTTCTCCAGGATCACTTCATGCAGATACTGCACACTTTGTCCTGACTTGCCTAGAAGGCAAAGGCCTTTTCCATTTCGAGTTCAAACATGGACATGCAGACCTTCTCATGAGCTTGCCTCTGCTCTGGGTCGAAGGGATGCAGGGCTCCCAGGTTACAGATGTCACACACTTCACCGTGCAGGTAGACACAGGAATCCCCAAACTGGCGCTCCCTGGTGGCTGCATATGGGCACAGCTGCTGCTTGCTGCTGTAGGAGCTGCTGGCTTCCAAGCCATCAAGGCCACTCCTGGTGGCATCCAGGTAGGAATGCAGCTTCATCTCAGGGCTGGGCTGGGGGTCACGGTAGCTGCCTGGATTACTCACCAGACTCGAGTGTGTCTTTTCTTCAGCCATGCCAGAGAGATTTCAGTCTCTAAGCACCAACATTCTCTTTTCACGCTTCCCAGGTTTGAGTGAATTAGTTTTCACAACAGATGCAGTGAGGCTGGAAGAAGGATGAGGGCTGTGGAAACCTGAGGAGGGCACACTGTGGGGCACGGTGCTCACGGCACCACCAGATGCAGCAGAAGCCTCGTGTGATCGTGTCTGTGCTGAGTTCAGTAGGCACAGTACCCCTTCTGATAGTATTTACAGATGGTGGATAACTCGCTGTTTGCCCAGTCATGTCAGAACAGGCACTGGCTTCCTTCCCGACATACATATGCATAAAATACCTGCAAGTGAACTGTTTGGTACTCATGGTGTTTGGGCTGGAGGGCAGTTGTCGCTCTGCCACCTCTCTTTACTGCCACTGCTGCCTCCTCAGCCTCCAATAAATATTTTTGATAATGAAAAAAATGGTCAATTTTGTTCTTTAATGCAGGCAAATAATTGAATTTGTGCCACTTACAGTATGTGATACTCATGACTTAGTCAGAAATATTTTCAGGCTCTCAATATAAAAGAGCAATTTTTCACCCTAAAGAACAAAGAATCTTCATACATCTGTATCTTCTGAGCAATTATTTTAGAGATATTATTTCATGGCCCAACTTTGTAAGGTTGTACCTGTTCTTCCCACGCTCAGCAGGATGGACCACATCCACATCTCCAGAAAGATGGGCTTCTCCTCAGGATGTGTGTACAACCTATCAAGCTTCCTTCTAGCATTCACATGACTCTAAGATAGGAACCAATGATAAGGAAAAAAGGGAGAAGGAACGTCTCTGCCTTTAGCACTTAAGTTGGGTCCTAGGCAGTGCAGAAAATCAGACACAGAGTCAAGTATTACCAGGAACCTGCCATGTGCCTTGCATGACTTTCAAATATTATAAGGAAAAGATCAAGAGAAATGTTCCTGGATCCATCTGGAATAAATTACTGGCCTTACTTTACTGGCAAAATACTTTTTGCCTCCCAATGTTTCCCTTGGACATCGAAACATCATACTTCTATTATAACCAATCTACCTAGTCTGGTGAGGATAAATTCATTCAAGAAGATAAAATGCCTCAGAGAGACGCTGCAATTTATTATCATGTTTCTGTCCTGGAAAGAGAACTCAAAGAAATGCTTGAGATACCAAAAAACCATCTATTCTCAGGGCCAAGAACATCACTGTGACCCAGAACAGACTGAGTTCTGGCAAGGAAAATGGAGTACAGAGATGTCTCAGGATGAGGGACAGAATACAAGAAAGGCAAGAGGCCAAGGAAGTACATAAAAAGCAGACTACTCACTGGTGGACAAAATAGCACTTGATTGAAGAAAGCTGTGCTGGCTTACCACTCTCAGCAACTCTGAGTTAACCAACCATCACCGTATCGTAACCTTTCATCTTCTGAACTAGACTGAAATGGGAATATCTCTGTGTGTCTGACAGCTGTTTCCAGAAACAACATCATGTGGAAGTAAAGGTCACCATTTCTTATTCTCTTAGCTCAGATGCCCTGATGGTCTGTTTGCACAATTAAAAATTTAAAATAGTGCTATCATAGCTCATTAAGATCAACCAAAATAAGGGTATTTCAGAGCAATTCAAATACTCCTTCTCTAACACTTCTTCTAGGAAGAGGTATACACTTAAAAAGCCTGGAGCTAAATGTATGAATTGTGTCTACCAACTGGAGACATTGCTGACTCACTTCAAATGGGTTCTACCAACTTAACGTAACGAACGCATCTTGAAAAATATAAAGAGCAAATAGACAATTTCATGTGTGTATAAATACTAATGGAGAAAGGGTAAGAAAAAGGGAGAGAGATGTGTTATGTTTTTTATGAATAGACTATTTCTATACCACATATTCATTCATTTATAGTTTAGAATATAAGTATGCCAAAAAATTACAGGTAAATTCCATCAATTTCTAACAACAAAGTTGCTGAACAACTTTGAAAACTGTACCTAGTTTAACAATTCCATCATGAAATCCTGATATTAAATGACACCTAGGTCCCTAAACACTTAGGAAACGTGTACCATTGTTTTGATCATAGGATTAACATCAAAATTTGATCATAGGATTAACACTCTAATCGCTTTAAGACAGCAAAGAGTTAGCAATCATATCTTTTGGTTGCATATAGACCAACACATACCAAACAACACATACACCTGTAATACATATACACAGAACAGTTTACTACAGTAAAAGCATGGAAAACAAAATTCTGATTACCAAGCTCAAAATATCTGATTCTCCTCGTTTTATAACTTTTAGCAAGTCATACTGCCTCTCCAAGGCAAAATTTTCTCACCTCCAAAAGGAAAATGAATATCAATTCTCACTTTTACTATTTCATAGGGATACTAAGAGGATAAAATGTAAGGGAAAAACTCCAGTACTTTGACATATCTCTGAAAGTTCTTTTCATTCAACTGTGTTCTTAGAGTGTAAAGCCCAAGAGATATTTATGTATGCATAGAGCTTGCCAAATTATTAGGCATTTAATAAATACCCATTAAAATAATGCAAATAAAAATTAGAAAGTCAGAAAACTCTTTTCGAATATATTACAGTGAAATTCTGTATACTAATACTGTAATTCTAAACATATCCATAGTTAGCCAATGAATTTGCTTCATAAATTCCATATTGTATTTCACCAATCTTCCAACTGAAAGTTAATTTTAAATAAATTTAAAATAAAAATATTTTAATTTGGATACCAAATTAAAAATAAATTTGGTACCCAAAGTAAAAAATAACAAGCAATCTTCACAAAGCATATTGTCTATGCTTTTATATTATTCTAAGAAATTCTAGAGAGCAGCTGTTTTTGCAAATGAGCTATTATAGAGATCAGCTTTCTTCTCTTCATTTACCACTTAAAATGACACTTGATTATACTATTTAATGATATAGTGTACTTGAAAATATTAAAGTATTGATGCAAGTTATCCCTATTTTAAATTTAGTATAACTCAGTATTTTAAAGTACTTGTCAGTCAGCAGTCTGTAACAGGGAACTGTAAAACTGTACCCTGTGAGCTAAATCCGGCCCATTATCCACAAGTGAATGGATTTTACATTTATAAATGGCTGAAAAAAAATTTTTTTAAATATTTTGTGACATAGGAAAATTATATGAAATTCAGATTCCAGTGTCCATAATAAAGTGTTACACAGCTCAGTTCATCCGCTTGTAATGTATTGCCTACTTTCACCTGATAGTGGCAGAGTTGAGTAGTTGTAAGAGAGACTGTAAAGCCAACAAATTATTTGCTACCTGATCCTTAATAGAAAAGTTTGCCAACCTCTGATCTATAAGGAGCTGGACAGTGGTATTGGAAGTGACATAAAATATGAGTGATGCTCTCTTAGACCTAGGGCTCCCATATTTTCTACACTACCTCCTAACTCAACAGACAGTATAGAAATTGACAAAAAGTACTCTACCTGTCATTTTCCTTTGGGGACCTGAAAAAAAAAAATGAAAATATTTAACAGAGTTCGAGACAGTTATATAGTCATGTTAATCATCAGAGTGCAAGTACTTTATATATTTCTTTTTATTTTCTTTGAAATGCTTCCTGAAATGAAAATCCCTGCATGTTATTAGATGTTGACAAACTCCTATAGATTAAAAGGAGTAAGGTGGAAAAAGCACTCTATTTTCAACCCAGTGGTCACTACTGTCTTTTAAACAAATCGTGTGTAGTTATCGCTTCTTAAATACACTATTTTCAATAAGTCAGCAAAGAATTTCAGTTGTTGGCATTAACAAAACTGAGAACCTTCTTTTTTGCGATAATGCGTTATATAGTATTAAAGTCATATGATACACGTTAAGGTCTTAATGGACTAGGTTACTGTCAGGATTGACTAATCCATAGGATGTTATACAACCTTTACCATTCATTTTATGTAGCAGATGCTTAAATAGAATTTTCCATGTGCCAGGAACTGTGCTAATCATTTCATAAAAATTCATTTAATCTTAATTAAGATTTATTAGTATCCCCACATCACAGGTAAATAAAGTAAGGAAACAAGAAACTAATAATTTTCCCAAAGTATTTCAAAAGCATTTTTTTCTCCTTGAGATGGCGTCTCACTATGTTGCCCTCAGTAGAGCACTGTGGCATCACAGCTCGCAGCAACCTCAAACTCTTGGGCTTAAGTGATTCTCTTGCCTCAGCCTCCAAGTAGCTGGGACTACAGGTGCCTGCCACAACACCTGGCTATTTTTTTTGTTGCAGTTGTCATTGTTTAGCAGGCCCGGGCCAAGTTCAAACCCACCTGTCTTGGTGTATGTTGCTGGCACCCTAACCACTGAGGTATGGGCACCGAGCCTCAAAAGCATTCTTTAAAAGCAGGATTAATATATACAAATGAGAAGTTAAGTCCTGGCTATACACCCAAAAGTATCCAGCCAGAGTCTAAAGGCAGAATTTGAAGCCAGACAAGTTGGCTCCAAAGGCCACACTGCCCTTCACACGCTGCCAAATGAGGGAGGTCTTCCAAGGCCTCACATTCTGAGGTTCTCAATCTGAGCTGAGTCACAGCTGGAGGCAACTTGCTGTGAAAACACAAAAACTGAACTGGAGAGAATAGCCATTGTGTACGAGTGGGTAGAGGGTGCATTTTTCATGCTCAGCCTCCCTTCCCTAAGCCTACATCACTAACTAGCTGAGCACTCTTGTACAAATTATTTAAATTCCTTCTCTTCTGATTTCCTTATTAGAGAAAAAAAATGAAAGTAATAATGACTATTTGACAGCATTGATACTGGAATTAAATGAGTATAAAGTATGTATATATAAAGCCTGGCATGGTACAAATGCTATTTAAGTGCTTCCTGTTACTTTTGGTAAACCCAGAAGTTTTGACAAAAACATGGCAAAGTTGAGATGTTACGTTAATTATGCCAGCATGCTGCAAAGTGTTGCCGCCTGTGCTCCCTGGCACTGGAGCACTGGGGTCAGCTGTCACCTAAATCACGGTATTGAATCTAGTATGAAGGGTCAGAGCAAGAGCTATAAAGTCAACGTCTTTGTTTCAAAATTCTTCACCTGTTTACAAACTCTAACTTTGGGCTAATATTTCATCCCTTTAAACCTGTTTCCCTGCCTATAAAATTAGTATCTAACCCTGAGAGAGTTGAAGTTTAAGAGAGCTCAGGAATGTGAACCGCCCAATACAAACTATTCGCTCATGGTTCACAGACATTATGCTCTAAGTCTTTTCCTTTTTTTTTTTTTTTTTTTTTGAGACAGTCTCACTTTGTTGCTCTTGGTAGAGTGTCATGGCATCACAGCTCATAGCAACCTCAAACTCCTGGGTTCAAGCAATTCTCTTGCCTCAGCTTCCCGAGTAGCTGGGACTATAGGTGCCTGCCACAACGCCTGGCTATTTGTCTTTTTTTTTTCTTTTAGAGATGGGGTGGGGGTCTCACTTTTGCTCAGGTTGGTCTCGAACCAGGAATCTCAGGTAATCCACCCACTTCAGCCTCCCAGTGTGCGAGGATTACAGGCATGGAGCCTCTGTGCCTGCCCTGCTCTAAGCAGGGATGAAATATCTTAAAAAGAAGTCTTTTTGATTTACTCAGAACTGTTATATTTGAAATGAGAACTAACGCATCCCTTCCAAAATGTCCTTACACCAAGATGTCAAAATCACAACATTGACAAGCTTTAGGGAGATGTTGATGAGGTCACATCTAATCTGACTTCAGGGTCCCATCAATGCCAAATAAGAGCTGTATAACTTGTCAACAGCAAGCTGTAGACATGAAGTCCTAAGTTCCTATCCCAGCTTAACTACAGACCTGTTATGTCTCCTTGAATACATTTGCCTTTTTCTAATTTAGTTTCCCTACCTGAAACCACAGCATCAACAATACTAATTTACTCTATGTAGCACTGAGTTATAGCATTCAAATAATTTGTTGTTAGAGTATATGTGATAAATATAAAGGACATTCCATTTGGAATAAAGTGTGTTTCTCTATCATTAAGTTTATTTACCTGAACTCAAGTACACGGATACCCTTGTAGCCTGGTAACCCAGTAAATGCATTTTCAACCTGTTAAAAATAAAAATAAAAATTATAACTATGTCAAACGTGAAAAAGTATATTAAAAATGTTTTTAAGAATAGAGTAGAAAGTGTAAATACATAAAGACAGAGGAGTCAGAAAGCAAAAGTAAAAAATATTTACAATAGTTACAGTGTTAGAAAATAGTTTTTACCACTGCACTGCCACATTCTTTTGTCTTGTAAGGTTTTACTGTGCTTTAATATTCATTTTTTTCCAAATTATAAAAAGCATACTTATTGGGAAAGCATTGTTTTTTTTTCCCCATGTGATGAAATGTGACAATAAAAGTTGGCTTCAAAAGAAACCATAATAGCATTTTTAAATATTGTTTGGATTAGAATCTGGCCACAGCACACACACTGACAAACAGCCTAGTGTTTGTTTTCTGTAGATCTGAAAGTGCCTGGTAGTGTCTGTTTCCTGCTCCCACAACACACGAGATCATGGACAGAGACACACTCAACATTAGAAAAAAATTGGCAAGCCCTGAGTAGCCTCAGGTGAGGGACTTTGATGACTGCTTAGTACAAAGGAAGATGTCACCCAGTGGCGGGGTAAGTGGCTGGGTAACTCAACTGGTCAAAAGATCAATTTATGAGCATCACATTTGCAGGAGCCAGTTTTATTACTGGGTCTTTAAAATCCAGCCATGAAACTCTCTATCTGAGCTTAGTGACTGGAGGGGGAAAAAAGAATTGCTAGACTGGACTAAATGTGCAAAAATAATCAGTTTGTGCACAAATACATATTTTAACAAAATTGAGTATTTAATTCATTACATTCCAGAAGGTGAGAACCTCACCAGATGGGTCACCATGGGGCCAACATTAAAACAAAGGAAATAAGTTAATGCCCTTGTTGACAACCCTGGGCATCTGCTTTTAACCAAATCCTCATATAATCAGGAGAATGGGATATTTTTTTTTTTTTTTGAGACAGAGCCTCAAGCTGTCACTCTGGGTAGAGTGCGGTGGCATCACAGCTCACAGCAACCTCCAACTCCTGGGCTCAAGCAAGTCTCCTGCCTCAGCCTCCCAAGTAGCTGGGACCACAGGTGACCACCACAATGCCTGGCTATTATTTTTGATTGCAGCCGTCATTGTTGTTTGGCGGGCCCAGGCTGGATTTGAACCCACCACCGTAGGTGTATGTGGCTGATGCCTTAGCCACTTGAGCCACAGTGCCAAGCCGGGATTTTTTTTTTAATCTTGGTTCACTGAAGTTCTTCATGCCTTAAGAATAGGGATCCAAACCATGAAACTTTTTGGCTATAGTAATTTGCCTTCTTTTACTCTCTGAAAGGAAAGAAAGAAGTATTATAATTCTTGTAGGAAGGTGGGAGGAGTAGAATCAGAAGACTGAGAGTTAGTCTCAGCTCTTTTTTGTTGGCACAGTAACCATGCATAAGTCTTCTTTTATGGAACTAACACTTCCCTGCCCCCACCACATCTATTTTTATAAGATTAAAATGAATGTACCTAAAAGTACTCTATTAACTGAAAAATGTTCTACGACTATGTATTATTACTGACCCCATCTCAGCCTGGGTTTTGCCATTTCTTGAGTCTAATGTGCAGGTATTGTATTCTAATCCATCATATCCAGTTAACAAGTGCCCAGTTGTAAGCAGTTATTCTACTTTATTAACATCAATATTAATAATAGGCACAATTTATTGAGTGACTACTATGTGTCTAGTGCTTTGCATTATTATTTCAAGTCCTTGCAACAATCCCAAGATATATATCATCACAATTTTATGGATGAGAAGACTGAGACCATAAGATATCCACTATCTTGGCCAGAATCACACTGAAGCCATATACTTCCCACTGAATTACACTGCCTCTTCCTCTTTCACCTGCCTCAAGATAAATACGCTTTAGAATTGGGACTGGAACTGGGAAAACTATGAAGTTCACCATAACTCCCCTCCCTGAATTAAAACGAATGGGTCTGTAATATATAAAGGAAGGGGCACTTTAAAAGGCAAGAGAAAACTTGATTTTCCCTCTGCTTGTCATGGGCCAGAGTGAACATGAAAAAGTTATTTGGCCTCCAAGGCCTTGTCTGTAACATGGAGATGCTTATCCACATAAGTGCTGTGCACAGACAGACTGACAGCAGCTATAGAGCATAAAGCACCATGTGAAGACACTGTGTTGACACTGTCACAGCCTTTAGGGACCAACACCCCCAAGCCTATCGCACTGACCTTTCCCTCTCTGATAGAAATCTGTGTCATCCCAAGCTATTCATCACTCCTCTTCCTCTTGACATTCTCTTCACAAAGAAAAGGAGCAATAGCTCCTGAACCTCACCCTCTCCAAGCAAGCATTCTTTCTTCCTGTACGCCTGTACGCCTTCCAGTAATACCTACAGAAGCTGAGGGAACAATCTGACTGTGCCCTGAAGGTTGAGAGCTGGAGGACCCGTCAGTTTGTAGTAAACACAGTGCCAGAGATAAGCCTCCCTCCCCCCTTCCACATAAAGGGGCTGTCAGTAGACACTTCATTCCCAGTAAGGGGGTAGAGCAATAAGCCAGAGAAGGAGGTATTTCATTGTAGGACTAGACCCTTCATCACCCTCAAATCATCTCAAGCCAATAGCTACCTACTTCATAAAGTCCCTGCTGCCAAAGTTTTCCAGAGTATTTATAAGACTTTCTCCAAATCTGCAGTCATTCCATGCAATTGTTTACCAAAGCACTCAGGCATCTTAGAGGTTTCTTAATCAAAGTGCAGCAAAAACCAGACAGTCGATCCAAGACGCTATCTGATGCCAGGTGGCCACCGGCCTGGCTGACATTTCTTCCACATACCATACAGCCTTGCAACTTGAACTTGGCCACATAGCTAGGAAAATGAATTGTCTGGCCTACACTCCCCATGTCTGATGGCTGCAATGATGCTGTCTGCCTGACACATGCACATTTTTATTTCCCATCTGGACATACTGTCTGGGGAAGGAAATTAATCCAAGGTAATGGAATTGACAAACTTGGCCAAACAGACCCACATTAAGAGAGAATGGAAAATAAATAAACAGGAAGGAATGATGTGTCTTCAGAGGGGGGCAGATGGGCATTCAATGCCTCATTACACATGAGCACAAGAGCAAAGTGCAGGTTTTGCTGCACTTTGTATCAGAAGTTCACTACGTCGCCCTCAGTAGAGTGCTGTGGAAGCATAGCTCACAGTAAACTCAAACTCCTGGGCTCAAGTGATCCCCTTGTCTCAATCTCCTGAGTGGCTGGGACTACTGGTGCCCACCACAATGCTGGCTAGTTCATTTAGAGACAGAGTCTCGCTCTTGCTCAGGCTGGTCTTGAACTCTTGACCTCCAGCAATCCACCCATCTTGGCCTCCCAGAGTCCTAGGATTACAGGTGTAATTACAGGTGTAAAAAGCCCAGCTCCCAAAATCTATCTTTTAAAAAAGCACCTCCAACTAAGGAATAGATCAAAAGAAAATTTATTTTTCACTGGGTCCTTTTGTGCTTCAAAACTTTGTACCAGGTATTACCTATGTTTTAACTATTCAAAATTTTTCAGTTTAAAAAA